AAAATTTTTAATATAATCTCCGGAGATGTTTAAAAATTTTTTCGATTATTTCCAGAAATTATATATATAACTTTTATTTCGAAGACTTTTAATTATATCAAAAGTCCTCTAGAGATTTACACCCGAAGATCTCCAGAAATCTTTTCCTAAAAAATTTCCAGATGATGTCTATAAGTATAACCACTAGTGAGATTTTTTCTTTATTTTTTGTTTGCTGAAAAACTTTTTTATTTGGTGGTTAGATAGAGTTTGACCATTTATCTATATCTATAAGTATAATTGTAAAGTTTTTTTCCTCTTTTTTTGTTATTCTTTTCAAGATATTGAAATGCATCTTCCTCCTCTTTGCAACAGAATATTGTCCATGCATTGCCATTGATAAATTCTTTTTTGAAGGGCTGAAAATCTTTTGGCAAGCCTAATGTATTTTGCAAATATGCTATTTATTCTATTTTGGTTTTTCCTGGAAGCCTGAAAATAAACACATCCATTTTATATTCACCATCTACCTTGATATAAAAGGGATTGATACCGGATATCTTTGATCTATTTCTTATCTTATATGTATGTTGCTTAGCTATATTGTCTCCTTTAATCTTCTCACTAATAACTTCTATTTTGATTATATCTTCGAGCTCCTTATCTCCCATTTTAATTTCAGTAATATTTGAGATTTCAACTGTTGTAGTTGTTTGAACTTCCATGCTGATTATCTTATCTGATGAGCTGTGTATAGGAAGATTGTTTTCAGGTATTGTCTGACTTGACATAATATTTTGTGAAAAGTATTGTGATTATTCAGTTTGTTCTATTATGTTCAAGTATTTATTCTCTAAAAATGGAGCTAGAAGATCTTTTTCTTTTCCTTGTTCTTTGATTCATAGATAAAGAATGTGTTGTCTGAGAATATTGGCTTTAATAAAGGTAGTATGATTGACATTTAGGATTCTAGCAATGATACTGTCTATAATCAAGTATTGGATTGGACCTAAGGTAAAGTTCATGGTAACTTTTTGAGTTGAAGTAATATTAAGAAGGATTTGTGTTGTCCATGGTTTCCGTTATTGATTATATTTGTTTTAATAACCTATAAAAGCTTATGTTTTCTCATAAACATGTTGATCATATAATAGGAAGTAAATTGATTGTGTTTGGTATTGTTATGTTTTGCTGATAATTGTTGTTATGTTTTCTTAGACGTATGTTGTAGGTTTGTTTATTCCTTATTATTATTTTAGTAATATGGAAAAATCTTATTGTTTGTTATAACATGTTGGTAGTATTTGTTTCACGTGTATATTGTAATAGTATTGTTAATATTGTTGATCAGTCAATAATAGATATGTGGGATTATAGGATTGTTGATAATTAATTTTTATAAACACATGGAGTTATGGAGTTGTTAATAATTAATTTGCATAAATACATAGAAAGTGTATTAATGTTATTTATTTGATACATTTTTGAGCTTGTTGTGAAAAATGTATGTGTCTGTATTTGTGTGCCGTAATATTATTGAAATGTTATTATTGTAATGTATATGTTTCTTTACTGTATAGTCAATGAAGCTTGGATGTCCCTCTAGGTTTTATAAGTATTTGAGTTATTGCTTGTAAAGCTTCTCTTGGTGTCTAGAAAGGTGTTAATCTGTACTGGCCTGGCAAGGAGTTTTGTGAAGTTAATGTTGAGCTTTCAAGAACTTACTGTGATTTAGTTTTTCTTGTTGTTTTTCTCTTTCTAAAAGAAAAAATTTATATAGTAAAAGTTAGTAATTTTTGTAAAACTTACCTCTTCTGTACTCTGTAAAGAGTTCTTGAACTTGTTTTTGTAAGTTGTTTAGTTGTAAAGGTGGTTTCTCTTGATTTTTCTTGTTTTTTGACTGGTTTCTCTTTTTCTCAAAAAATTATCAAAAAAGGAAATTTTCTGAAAATTTGGGGACCAGCGGAAAGAGTTTTTTTTTTTAAAAAAAAAATGATTTATTAATATTATTTTAAGCATTAACTTATAAATTTAATAAAATTATCAAATAACCTAATTCAATTTATTTAAATTTAATTTTAATTAAAAAAAATAATTAAAATTTATTTTGAAATAATAAATATAATTTAAATTAAATCTATTTTTATTTATTAATAACTTTTAAAATATTTAATAAATTAAATAAATAAAGGTAGATTATAAATTATATCTATTTAAAATTCTATGTTAATTGAATAATTGAATTAAATAAAAATCTAATAGAATATTATGAAATATATAAAGTTATAGGTAAAGATTTTTTTAATTAAAGAATAGTTTTAATTATAAAATATAAGAATCTAAGATCTATTATAAGCCATCCATTTATTATAGATAGATAAAAATTATTGTTTAAAGAAAGTTGAAATCAAATGTATCTTGAAAGTAAAGATTTTCACTAGATAATAAATTTATTTAGATAATATATAAGAAAGAAATCAAAATAAAAAATAGATAAATTCTTCAAATAATTAGAAAAAGAAAGAATATCCCAATAGGATATATCTTATTGAGAAGAAGACTTGAAAAATAGATTTTTGAAGAAAGCTGGAAATTATTATTTTTTTTTCTCATATTCATTTTCTTGTAATCTATTTAAATATTTTTAAATATTCCCTTTTACTTTTTACTGACCTATTCTTTTATAGTTTCTTATATTCTAGTGACTTGGTAGGATATTTAAAAATAACAAACTGCTAGCAATGAAGTAATAAACTAGGAAGGTTTTTATCTAAAGTCTGCTATGGAGTAAAATATTATTTCTAAGATAAAACTTAGAAATTATTATTGCCTATAACAAGTTAGTTAAATTTAATATGGATGTAAAGTTGTAACATACTATATATTATGCTGTTCGAGTGAAAATGTATTTATATTTTCAATTGATTAATAAACTATGATCTAGCTTGACTGTAGATATGCAAAAAAAAAAAAATAGTTTTAATTATAAAAAAAATATTCTGATATTATATCTAGAAAAAAAACCATATAGTAGCTCACAAAAGAAATAAAACATCTGATTAAAAATTTTTTATTTTAAATATCTTTATTTTTTATAATTATATAATAACAAAAATATACAAATTTATTTTGTCAAAACCTAAAGCAATTGTTCTTATAATTTTCATTATTGATTATTAAAATATTAAATGATTTACCTTTACTTTTTGGTTCATTTCTTTTAAATGATTTTATAACAAAAAAATTTTTTGACCAATTATATATATATAATTTCTAATTGTTAATTTGTTATATATATAAAGTATGATCATAGATAACATTTTTTTTTTTATATCTCAATGTCATGAATTTTACAAAAAGATTAGATTTATATATATATTCTTTTTAAAGAAAATTATTTAACCTAGAATATTGCTAAAATGAAAAATGTTAATCTATCCTCAGTATTACATATATATAACAAAAAAGAAATAACTAAAATTTTTGATGACAAATCAAAATCAAGTCATTTATGCATTATATATAGATATAATGAGTGAAAAATTATTCATTTAATTCAATCAGGAGAATGTTCAACAGCTGTAAAAGTACAATCAGAAATAAGTATTTCTATTGAAACTATATGGTGCATATTATGAAACAATAGTTTTACTACAAGAGTAAAATAAAAAAAATCTTTATTTCGAAAAATACATAAAAAAAAGTAACTTATGTATGCAAAAAAATATCGCAATTGGATAACTAGTGATTGGAGACGAGTTGTATGGTCAGACAAAACCAAATTTCTTTTATTTTCATCAGATGGTAGAGAATATTGTTGAAGAAAAGCTGGAAAATATCTAACTAATCAAGATATTATATCAATGGTTAAATTTGATAGTGATGACATCATGATTTGGAGTTGTATAACAACTAATGATATTGATAATTGAATTAGAACTCAAGGAAATATGAATGGTAATCTTTATCAACAAATAATGGAAGGTAGTCTTATATCCTCTCTAATATGATTGGATTTAAATAAGAATTATATAGTTTATCAACAAGATAATGATCCAAAACATACTACTAAATTAATCAAATCCTGGTTTAATGATAATTCTATTATGGTACTTGATTGGCTATCTCAATCTCCAGACTTAAATCCCATAGAACATCTATGGAATGAAGTTGACAGACATTTATGCAAACTTAAAAATCCATCATTTAATATAAATGATTTGTGGAAAAATTTAAAAACCATGTTGAATAGCATTGAGACTAATTATTGTAATGATTCTATGCCCGAAAGAATAAATGATGTGATAAAAGCAAAAGGCGGATATACTAGATGGTATATACTTACAATGTATCAAGTTTTATAGCATCTAATTTTTTTGTTATTAAATAGTTTAATACGCAGTAATATATTTAATAACGATCAAAAAAAATAGAACACTAATTAAAAATAAATGCTAATAGTTTTATATATTTTACCAAATAAAAAAAAGTTAAATAAATAAAATTCTTTTATCTAAGTTTTAAGAAAAAAAATTAATATATTTTTATTATCGTTCAGTTCTTTAAGATAAAAATATTTAAAATAAAAAATTTTTAACCAGATGTTTGTGAGCTACTACTGTAAGTAAAAATTATTAATCATCGCCGATTACGTAAAATGATGAAAACATACTGTACAATATATTTAAAAAAATTTTTTTTGAAGAAATAAAACCGTCATCGGGTTGTTTATATAAGAGTGTCGGGTATCACCAGATACTGCAATCAATATGTAAATAAAGATTAGTAATCGCATGCCTTATAATTTTGTGTAAAAGATTTAATTATTTACGCTATTTTTAGTAAATGGATGATTTACAATTAAAAAAAGCTTTATAAAATAGACCGAATAAATGATTAAATACATAAATTTTATAAATGGTGGTTGTATTTACATTGTCAAAAAACAGTGATTTACATACTATTTTAATTGTTGCCCGAAGAATCGTTACGCTCATTAGGTATGCTTTTATCTTCTATTATCATCTCATCATCTTTCGCTTTAGATCCTCCTTAATTACTCCGCTTTCACTTTTTCTCGTTTTACCTATGGCTACGATAGATGAAACATCCATTTTCCAACTTTTAGACGCTGCCCGTGCATCCGGTGTGGCGGTGCGATCGAGTGATTTAACAATATTACCGCGTTTAAGTTTGGCATCATGTTCGACGCTCGTGATCTCACCACTATTAGAGTTGAGCGGCTCATCATTCAACCTTTCACGAAAAAACTCCGCCAATGATTTGCTGCCGTTAAATCTCGGAGAATTTGAAATTCGATTTTCCATAGCCTGTATCGACTCGGTAGTTGATGCGAGAAAGGAATCGTTCGAAAAAAAGGAAAATTCAATATTCGGTGTTTCTCCGTGGAATTTAAGCATTTCACCAAGTATTTCTACATCTACGAGGAATTTTAATTAACGATTAAAAGGATAAGAATTTTTTAATGATGACGAAATTAGTTACTTACTATGTAAAAATCGTAACATATCCGGATATTTCAATCCACCCCGGCTTCTGATTTTCGGAAACAATACTTGTCTTAGTTGATTACGCCAGTAGGGCCAACCAAACTGCATTAATACTATTATGTTGCCTATGGTCTGATCCAAAAGCGAGTCTTGTGCAGAATTGAGTTCATACTAGTGAAGAATTCAAATTTCGATTCATCAAAAAGCAACATCTAAAGAGAAACTGTAAAATACGACAAATATTTCAACTCACCTCGAAACACGCCATCAATTCTTTCACAGTTCTAATCACCAAACCTTCCTTGGTCATCTCTATCAACTTGAACCTTTGAAATTCGGAACTTTTTCTGGAAATCAAATCCTCCCAAATCTTAGCCATATACCAGTCATCTCTTTCCGAACATCTTTCGTCGACAGGGGTAATTGGTAGAGTGGCCAAAATCATGCAAAGTTCTACCCTAGCTTGTGCCCACCAACCAATTGCACGGTAAAGGGTAGAAATCGAATATAGAACGCGAAAAGTTAGAATCAGCGGAGATTGTTCTTTTATGGTAGATTCGCACGTAGAGGCGGGGTCTAATGTGTTATCGTTAAATGACCGCTGGTGATCTTGTCGCACCGGTGTCGAGTGTTTTTCTTTCCGTGATTCTCTCTTTCGTTGAGAACCCCAGGCCGCCGAAATCCTTGAAATTATTTCTCTATAAGAAGTGTAGGCTGTATTAATATTTCCATTGATGAGCTCACTGTCTGCACGTGTTAACATAACCGCATTAAAAACATCAAGTGGCAGGTTCCAAGCATCGAGCAATCTTCCAAATTCTAGTAGTCATTAATAAAAGATGATGTGATGAGACATTTATTCATCGGGCAATCTTTTTTGACCATTAGAAAAGGTAAACACCTCGATTCAAAAACTCCAGCTCATTTCCCCTTCGATTCACCATTGATCTCAGATCATCCCAACATTTTGACGCCCGTTCCAAGTGTGAGATCGCGTTACGTACGATCGGTTCTGCCGAATCAAAAGACTCTACGCGGATTTTAAAGAGTGAGATATTATAACCAAAGAAAATAAGATTATCGATATAATTTCACCAAAAAACACCTTGCCATTCTTTAATTCGAGAGCCTTCCATTTCCCCAATCTCGTCATCATCATCAATCAATAGATTCCGGACGTTCATGACATTCTTACTTCGATGATTTCTTTTGTGCGTTATAGAGTACTCGGACTCACCATCATCACCATCCGTTCCCAGGTTGTTCCGACCAGGATCGCCTGTCAATAAAAAGCTGATTCGCCTTTTTTTGCTTGCCCTTGGACCATTAGATAAATTAAAATAGTTAGGTGGAGATAGAGGATTGGGAAATTCAGCATTAATCCCCTCAGTCCAGATGGGTATTATACAATTACTTGTACCTTCGAGTGTGCACGACAAACAGAAATATAGGTGTGGTGAGAAAAATTTTATCAAAAGAAAAAAAAAAAAAAAGAATCTGCATCGATCCAAAATAAAATTTCATACTCTCGGGCGAAGATACGTGCTTTAACCCAGACACAATATCATAGAATTCGTAACAGCAATAGACGAAACATGCTACACCGATCGATAAGCAAAACGAATTTAGAATCGTTTCGCTCGTTAACGAAGTTTGGTTGACCGAGGTCTGATTTAAAAGGTTAAACAGTTTCGCGGGTAGTTGAGATGGATCTTCGAAAAAATCTGCGATTGTGATACGTGGAGAACTAGAAAGCGAATGGTGACGATAAGAGATGGTGATAAAAAGTTTATGATTGTCTGATTCAAGCAGATGAGCAATAATGTACCTTGGAAATACCAGGTATCCGGTACTGTCCATGACAGTCAAAGAGATCTCAAACAACTTTCGCCACTCTTTGCTTGCGATATAGTATCCCTGTGCTCTTTCGAGCCATAATTTGAGTTGACTATAGGTGACATTCACATTCGCTGGATATTTGACTTGCGTTGATGTGGCGTAAGGAACCGACAAATAATCTTGTGGTTCGTAGACTCGGATGTCGGGTGGTATATGCGTTTCGTGCACGACGATTTTTTTTCGAAGTAGAACAGTCAATATATCTTCGACTTAAGATTGCGCAAAATAAGAACATGACTTTTCATTTGAAAAAGAAAAAAAAAAACATCACGGGTCGAAACCAACCAAATAATCTTCTTGATGCATTATATTCCGAAGCAGGATGATTTTGATCTTCACATTGAATCGCAAGTTGAGCAGCGTGAACCTGTGAACAGAAAAAATATGAAAATATAGTGCGGATGATATTGACATGAAATCATTCTGCTAATTACCCCAAAATGTGTGGCAGTGATTGGATACGCTTTTAAGAGTAAAGCATACAGTCGGCACGCATCAACCGGTTTGTTCAATACCTTTTCGTGCCGAACTAGATCGATAAAAATCGGTAAATAAACTGAATGATAATTTTTCACGATAAAAAAAAGATCAACTTTCTTTACCTGCACTGTGTATCAATATTTCCATTTGCGTCCCAGACGGAAGTTTGATGAAAAACACTAGCATGAAATAAAAGGTATTTCAGTAAATTACAACGAATTGATCCTTCTGCGGTAGACGTGAGCGTCGTCAACATCATGAGGAGTAAAAAGAAAGAAAGGAAATAATTTCCAATGACTGATGGCTCGAATGAATATAGTATTTAATGTACATCGGCTCTGTATTTGAATTAGGACGCGACAGGTCAAGCTTCTCAGTGCCCGACGCTAGTCGTCAAGTTTACCGACGTGGGGTCAATAGACTGATTTCTAAAAAACCCACGCATTAAGCACGGGCTTAACGACTTCGGCTATACGAATATGCAGGGGTGTCTTACTCACTGAAATTATCGTCATTAGTTTTATGGCGTACGGATTCGGTGATTTCCATCAGATATTCTTTTAACGGCTCATGATCAGGAAATAGCCTTCGTCTTTATTTATTATATGCAGCACAATAGTATCATTGGTGAACAATAAATCATTTGTAGCAATGATCGAATATATTATAAAACATAACTTGCAGAATCGCGAAAATAATTAAATGATAAATATCTTATGTTTGACAAATTATAAGAAAAACAACTCACAGTTCATCAAAGTGTGTTCTCGCCTGTGACATGTCTCCTTCCTTGATGGCAATCTTATGACCTATGAACTGTGCGTATTACAAATGAATGGTTTTGAGTTTAGACTTTTACGTAATCTTGGATCCGGCACAATTCACCGATGAGAACTCGTTGTGTATGCTACTGAAACTAAATATCACTTGGTCGATACGATACCTTGAGATCATAGGAATTCGGGAAAATTTCACATGCTTCACGATAATGTTTTATGGCGTATTGCAATCTAGCGTCTTCACTCGACTCTCCTTTGACCTCAACGGAAGAGGAAGTTAAAAGTTTTTTGATATTAGAAATGTACCACGCAAGGTCGTGGGTCTCTGATTCGATTTCCGCATTAGGTTGCAAATCCATGTTTTTAGAATTTTCGAAATTTGTTAGATTTTGAGGATATGATGTCTTTCTTCTTCGAAACTAACGGGAAAGACTCAAAGATCTCTATAGCATCGTTTGATGAAAATCTATCAATATCTAGACAATGATGACGTGATAATAAAATTTAAAGTATGCCTGATGAACGAACATTCACAAGTAGATTCTGTATATAAAGTAGAAAAACAATAACATTGTCTAAACTGAATCTTGAGAAAACTAATGAAAAAGACGAAATCTGTTGGTATTTGTAATGTATTATAATTTATCTGATCAATGCAGTTGTCAGTTATTACGCACTGTGGACCTGTGTAAACATATTATTTTATGGATTCAAATTCGAAGCAAATATGTTGTGTGACATATTATATAATACAAACCTGATTACTGGTTGAAACAAGTTACGAAGTTATGGCATTAAATATTGTTGGATTGATTGGATAGCTGAAACCAAAGTAAATAAAATTTTTTTATTTATTTAGTTCCTTTTGTATTATTATATACAGTATAATATAAATTTTTAATTATATTTATTTATATACAAACCTTTTTGCCCTCGTTTTTTCATTTAAAAATATAAAAAATAAAATTACTTAAAATTAATTATTAAAATTTTATTAAAAAAAATATTAATTTTAAAGATATTAAAAAATTTTATAATAAAATATTATTATAATTATTTTAATTATTAGTTATAATAATTTATTTAAGTTTAATAGAAAAAATACACTTTCAAAAAATTTTTTTTTAATTTTTAATTAATTATTTTTAAAAAATTTTACTGGTAGTAAAAAATTTATTTATTTTTTTTTTTTTTGTATATTTGTAACTAGGTTAAATTGTAATTTATTAATTAATTGAAAATATAAATACATTTTCACTCAAGCAGTATAATACATATTATAACTAAACATCAATTTTAAATCTAACCAACTTATTATAGGTAATAATAACCTATAAATTTGACCTGTAAACAATATTTTGCTTAATAATAATAGACTTTGTATAAAAATCTTTCTAATCCACTACTTTATTGCTAATAATTTGTCACTACCGAATATTCTATCAAATTAATAAAATACAAGAAACTACAAAAGGATAGATTAATAAAAGAAAAAAAAAATATCTAAAAATATTTAAATGGACTACAAGAAACAAAAATAAAAAAAGAAAATAAAATTCTTCAGCTTTCTTCTAAAATTTACTTTTCAAGACTTCTTTTTAATAAAAAATATCCTAACAAGATATTCTTTCTTCTTCTGATTATTTGAGAAACTTATTCATTATAGATCTTGATTTCCTTCCTATATACTATTTAAGGAAACTTATTGTTTAATAAAAATCTTTACTTTCAGAATATACTTGATTTCAATCTTCTTTATGTAGTGATTTTTTATTCACTTGTAATAGATAGATGACTTATGATAAATCACAAGTTCTTATATAACCCAGTAGGAATTGAGCCATGTTGTTTTAGTATAATATCTTCCAGTAGTCACACCTAATTAAATAAATTTTACTAGTATATATCTTCCATTATTCAAAAAGTCGGATTTTTCAATAATTCTTTTTATCTTGTAATGATAGAAGGATTTCAAAAAGTAATATAAATCATCATTAATTATAATATCTTTTAATAACTTCTTAAAAAATACATTCTCAACTATAATCAAAAGGTTGAAGTTTAGTATGAACTAGAGACTGTTTGATCTTATTGTCTGATTGGAATAAAAAGGAGACCTTGATTTTAAACTTTGCCTAACTGAAATAATAAGAGAAAAATATAACAACTTAAAAAATAGTAATGTTTTCACTATTTAGGGACTTGTTGTTCATATATTATTGATCTCGTAAAATTTAATTTATAGATTAATTCAATTAAAGAAATAGATAGGAACAAGGTATCAATTAATTCTTTCTATTATTAATGATATTATCGAAATATGTGAGATGATTAATAAGAACTTGTTTATATTTAGCTACTAATATGTTTGATATCTACTAATTATATTTTGCAATAGATTATGTTACCTAAAATTCAGGGTCAAACTGAGATAGACAAAATTCCCAGAATATCAAAAAATTTTTAAGTAACTATAAGAGAGAAGAAATAGTGAGCAAACACTTTGAAAATATGACTTAATGTTTACCACCTCCCATTGCACAAAACCTCTATAAACATGCTTTAATATAAAAAGCTTTGAATACTATACTTAATGATTATAACAGATCAAATCAGATCAAATTTTAACTAGATTCGATTTGATTCAGTTTTTATAAATATGAATTGGATATGGATCTAATTTATTTTAAACTGATCTGATTCAATTTGAAACCATAATAGTTTAATTTGGTTTGATTTAATTTGAAATCAATTTAAAATCAATTTGATATATCTTAAACCTATTTTAAAATATATTCAACCCTAACTACTTTAATTTAACTAAATTAAATTAAATATGTTTAAATTAATCTGGCATTATTTTAATAAAAAAATTTTTATCTAGTATATTTTCTTTCAGAAATATTTTTAACTTTAAATTTAAAAATTTTCATTTATTGGATTTAAATAAATCCTTTATCTGTCCATAATCATTTATTTGCTTCTATATTAATATACTTACCACTATAGTCAATATTCTCTAAAATAACATGATTTTTTATATTATTTTTTTCTTTAGTTTTTATTATTGATATCTCAAGTATTTGCAAAATATATTGATTTGTTGATAATTGATTATATCGATAATCTATATGATATTTTTTTTCTTTACTTTCTCTCTATTTGTTTATAGCCAATACTACTTTTTCGATCAAATTTTGAGACAATCTATAAGTTATACCTTCTTTGACAACACTGTAGTACCATGCAATTCATTTTCTAATTAGCAATAAAGAGTATTTTATAGTAAAAATTGTGACAATTTTAATTTTTTAATAATTTAAATTTTTAATAATTTATAATATTTAAAAAATACCTATCATTTTAACTTTAATTCCTCATTTAATCATGTAAAAGTTTTCTTCATCAAAATTCCCTTTACTGCAAATAAATTCTTTATTATTAGTAGGTTATATTCCTCTTAAGCAAAATTGTATGATTCAAAAAATTGAAATTGATGTAGGCAAATTTGTTATATCTTTAAGTTACATAAGCCTCACATAGACCTAAAGGATAGTTTAAATATATTTTTTTATTATTACAAAAAACTATAATTCTTTTGTCAATAGTCCCATATTTATTGTCATCTAGCTGGGATAGATTATATTCTTCTATTTTTTTTTATATATTTGAGATTATATCTTCAAAAAATATATGTATAACTAGTTGAAAAGAAAATTGTTCACTACTACAACTTTCTCTTCTTGCAAATATTGCCTTTCAGATCCTTATAATTCAACAGGTATATTATGTATATGGGTAAAGATTCTACTTTCTCTTATTGAAAGATACCTGCAAATATTAATATTAATAAAGTTTTAAAAATCAAAAATTTAAGTTTAATAAATATATATTCTGCAACTATTAAGATACCTTAATTTAATTCTTTGATTTCTGATGATCAGACAACTTGTCAGTGCAAAACAAATATATTGATAATTGTGTTTTTTATAAGTTCAAATACATCAGGATCAATATAATTTCAGTATATAGCCAGTATCATCTTGTTTGAGACTCTATTATAGACTATTATTTCTTTATTTTTTTTATTATTCTTGAAAGACAAGAGGCAGTATTGATCATAGATACATAAAAAGGCAAGAGACTTATTTTTTTAAATATTCACCTTCTTTTTATTTTTTTTTCATTGTAACTAGAAAAGAAATTAAGATATATTATTTTTACTGTATGTATCTTCTCAAGATACTTTTGAGTTAATAAATTTTTTTTGATCAGTAATTTAGTTAAGTTAATATAGTTTCAAAAAAATTGCAAGAATTTTAACTTACAAAATTTTTATGAGTTTTTTTTTAGATTTTTTTACATCATCAATATCAATTCTCAAAGCAATAGTAACATTTTTTAAATTATTATCACAAGTAACCAAGAACCTTGAAAAATTCATCCACTAGTTAGCCTGATATTGTTTTATTGTTAATAAACTTGAAAATGTATACAAGTATTTTTATTATATTTATATTCTGATAAGTATTGATATTAGGGTCAAAAATAGTAGATCTGTAGATCTATAGCATAGTGGTAGTGTTTCCAGGTTGCAATCACAAGGTCCATAGTTCAATATCACATGAGGGCCATGTGAAAGATTTATAAAATAGAAAAACTGTCTATAACACAAAACATAACCAGGTCTAAGAAAATACCGATCATCTCCATTTCGGTTTCATATAAACAGGGTTTTCTCACTTTCAGTTATAAGCAGGTTTTTCTTTCTATAAAAGGTACAATTAACATGGTTGAACATAAACAAATTTAGAAAGAGTATCAAAATTGGCAACTGCGCCATGTCTATTAGAACCATTTGAAAGATGTACTTCTTCTTTCATGGAACTAGCAAGTCAAGCCTGGCAAGTTAGTTGGAAGGAATCCGAAAGAATTGAAGATCTGAAAATATATGTGTCTAGATTTCCTAGATAGGTAATAGTAGAAATTTAATCTGACTGGATATTTTTGGGCAATAAGCTATCCAGTGAATTCTTTAAAAGTATGGTTCTAAGAATGTTTGTCAACATGAATAATAAAAATATGTATTCCCTGCAATTAAATTTGTAAATTACTTTATCAAGTTAATAAACAAGACTGAGTTTTCATTCTAACAATTAGGGTCAGAAATAGTTAGATAAACATTTAACAAGTGATGTATCAGTTCACTTAAAAATATAATATATTTTATTGGATCATTATATTTTATAATATAAGAAAATAAAGAGTAGCAATGAAGATTCTAAATTGAGATATATAAAATTAGTTAAATATATATAGTATCCTGCTAATGCAAAATAAAAAATCAATAGTCAAATAT